GGAAACCACAATTTATACGTTTGACTGCTTTAAGATTGACTATTGATGTCGCTTTATGACCCTGAATGTAAACCTAAATAATCATCATTGATTGTGGAACTAATGCTATTATTATTATACTCATATATAATAATATATATAGTATATATGTATAATATACAATATCTTACATATAATATATAATTTACTTTATGTGCCAGTAAAAGAGGAAATGACTGATATGGCAGGATTTTTCTCTTGGATGGATTTTCCAGATAATTATTTTGTATGTTTGCATGAATGAAGCGTAAGACTTACAGAAAATTGTGGATTGATCTTACACCCGGTTTGTAGGCTTTTAGGATTTTAGGTGGATAGAAATCTGCGGCACTTTAATCTCACCACTGTTAACTGAATAAATCTAATTACATTTTTCCTGGTGTATTTCGTTTTGATGTAAGGTGTCAACGCTGACGCTCTTTACCAAGTATATCAACTTAGGATCACTAACTCAAAACTCAGCTGAAATGACTTGAGACTTCAGTGAAAGTGATGTCATTTTTCGCTGCTTCTTAGTTTGGAATATCGACTCCAAAAATATCAGGTACATCTTTCTTTTGTGTACACAAGCAACTTGAAAACAATGGAAATATTGGCTGAAAAAACATTGTAAAGCCTGCAGTCATTAGGAAACAAAATATCCGTGACAATGTAAGCGCATAAGATTAAACAGTATAATGGCTTTGAGTTTCAATGTAAGGAAAGAAAGCCATAGAAATTACAGTGTTTTATCACAACGAACGTGTAGCATGTTTCTAATTGTTCAGCAGTGAGTGAGAGAATTGACTTTATCTGTAAATGTTAAAAAATTCATATCATGCTAAAACACTAATGCATAGAAGAGAATATTCTTTTCAGGAAATTTGCTGAAAACTCTACAACTGTTAGTCCATATTCATTTCCTAAATGCTGCTTCAAGATTTGCTTGCATCCGTATCTGAAATAGTGATAGGGAGTGAAGTAGTTGAGCGTGCCTACCGCTTCACTTATCTCGGGTGTCTCATCATTACTGATAGCCTGGTTTCTAACGAAATATCGACACAGATACAGAAGGGTCGACTGGCTTTTGGCAAGTTGCGTCACTCATAGCGTGGGCGAAATATCTGTCTTCTAACCAAAAAACGGGTTTATTGCGTAACAGTTTGCTCCGTCCGACTATATGGATGCGCAACATGACCGGTGAGAGTAGAGAACATTCGTAGATTGCTTGTCTTCTATCATAAGTGTCTCCAAAGCATTGCTGGTATAACCTGTGACTATCGAGTATGCAATGCTGTTTTTAGGAAACGAGTACTAGGTCAGGATGACAGATCAATAGATGAAGTATTGAGGTGGTTAGGAAATATGTTACGAATGCCCGACCACCGACTGCCTCAGCGAGCTCTGTTTTGTTCTACCAAAACATGGTAGAAATCCATGAAGCCATTGACAAGTGGACCAAGCCACGTCGGTAGATGTAGAAGACTTGGTTGTGCCCCGTGAGACAGTTGTAACGGATGGTAGGAGGCTTTGAATTACACGGCTCAAAATCATTTATAATAGCGCTGATGCATCCATTCTTTGTCTCTTTTCGAATTCTAATTTCCCGACTTCTCCATGACCTTCATCATTCTCTTCTCAAATCTATTTCACTATATTATACTTTTGAAATCATATCTGCATTACTGCTACTTCCTGTACTACTAAGGGATTTAGATGGATGACTCCATCTGTCTCTGCTAAAGTGGTACGGCAACTTGTACTGATGTATGCACTAACGACGTTCTATTTCGTCGCTGACTGACTAATATCTGAGTGCTATGACGATATGAATTTAGAAATGACAACTCAAAGTTAACAGTTATTGAAAGGTATAGTTAAATTTTATTAGCCTGACTATAATTAAACATAAACTATTTCTAACATGTTTGCCCAAACCTAAGGTAATCTTCAGCTTATCAATTGATGTCAATAATTATATCCTCCAGATAAATTGTTCTATTTGACTAAATAAGAATCTAATAGCTACTTATTCATAAAACCTAGTGAATCTGTTACTCTATCACTGGAATTAAAAAACAGCATGGAGAAGTGAATGATATATATCTCAACAAATACATAAGAAGGAAGACACTGCATGTACGCTTCATTGTTTATCTCACATCAACAGTTAGTGATTAGATTTAGCAGTGGCATATACTAATGTAATTAATGTTAACACATTCGATACAAAATTTAAACCTGATCTGTGAACCAATAAACTAGTAATTCCTTACTAGAAAATGTGCTTTTGAATTTTATTATGTAGATATTTCTTCATGGCCAAAGAGACGAACGAAAAACGAAATAATTTGATTTAGATACCTAGCATTTTTTAGTACATATAATCAAGGCTTACTCAAAAATATATGTACTCATCAAAATTACATGAGTATTCATCTAATCAAAACGTCTTGAATAAAATCTTCGTTCATAAATCCTTTCCATTACCACTAATACTTCTACTATAGGGTTTAAATTAGTGATTCAACCTCTACGTACGAATGTGGTATGGCAACTTTAACTGATGTACGTACGAAGTTGTACGTTGTAGCTGACTGATTGGCTAACCAATTATTAGTGCCAAAAGTGACCATGTTTGTGGCAAAATCCATCGTTTAAAATTGAAGCATATTAATTTAGGATTGTAAGATAAAGCAAAATCATTTATAAGTAGAGAATGGGTTGCAGTGGTTATTTTTAAGGCACGTTTCATCATCTTTTCACAGCCATCAGCTGGATGTCCTTGAACTATATGTTCTGGACTGCACTGCTATCTATTATCTCTGTTTGCTTAAAATTACTTGTCTTTTAGTGGCAGTATTGAAGTAATCTGCACAAATCGCACTTATATTAAGCAAGACTGATCGATTATAGTCGTATATTTCCATTGGAAGACTCGAATAAAGGATGTTCAGATAAGCTTTTAAGTTGAATAAATATGCGCAAATACTGATCGAAATATATTTGGGTAAGGTAGGGTGATAGAAATTACAATGCGATTACAAACTCGATCAAACGTTCCATGGAAGACCATGTCATCTGTGTGCTTTCTGACAAGATCATAAATCGAAGTACTGTGCAGTTAACGATAATGTCCCTAGATGAAACATCATAATTCATATATACATGCAAAAAGCAGATGTATTCGAATAATAAAAACAGTTGTACATGTTCATATTCCTGAACAAAGAAGCTGAGAAGCAACGGCTCTGAAGAGCGTAATAGTTAAGCATTAGTAGCGGGCACATCATTACCATTCCTTAATCGGTTGAAATTATCAGCAGACAAGAAAAATCTTGGAGTCTCTTCGGTTTGTCGAACCGGTTGTAATTAAAATATTCATAGCAATCAATTCTTGCCATTATTTTTGATCGCTTCACATTATGTAATACATCATTGTTACACTTCATCAAGCATATGGTTATATGCAGCTAAAATCTGACGAATTCATGTTATTGCAACCTAACTTCTGTCCTAGTTTCATTTATATCCATAAATTTCCTACCTATGAATAATGCAGATTGGAAACGGAAATTTCGATTAATATCTGAAAAAAGTATTTGCTGAGATGTATGAAGATTGTGAATTTCAAGTAATCTATAGACACACTGATGAAGATACAATTGGTTCACTATTCGGTTCCCTACTAGCTAAAAAACGGATACTCAGTAAAGCTTATGAACAAATATGTGATCACGAAGTTTAGAATAGCTAGAATGTTTACAGTGAACAAAAAATCCCTGTTCATAATTCTAAAAGTCACATATGACGCAACCAGTGAAATATTAATTCAGCGATTACATAGAAAAATCCAAATGCAATTCAACTGCGAGAAACGCTGACTGGTGTTTGATACGCGCCTAATGGTGATAATGAGGCTAAAAGCTGAATTTCCTAAAATTGTAATCTCCTCTTGTAATCATCAATCCGACTGCTATTGTGGAGCGAGTTATATTGGTTAAAGTCCTAAGGATTAACTCTTTCGTGCTCATGAACACCTATCTTAATTGAGCATAGGTGTGGTCTAAGTGGCTCAATATTGGTTCGCCTTGTGCAAAATATTCACAACGCAATTATTAGTAACTTTTTCTAAATTGTTCATGGAACTAGCGATTTATTGCCACAGTTGACAAAAATGAAATACCTTTAGGCAATAGAAGTATTGTATTCAACTTCTTCTTTTACCTTGGCTAATCTAAGGGCCCGTAAGTCACTAATAACTATGGAATAACCTTATTCTTTTTTACATTTTCTGGTTAATTATTAGCGTCTTCGCTAGTTTTATTCAGATACATTAGTGTTATAATTTCATTGAAATAATGAACCAGTCAGCATGAGAGGCAGTAAAGTACCAAAGAAAATGAACAATGATTGTTCAGTTTTGTGCACTGGTTGAAGTTGAACACTGCAGTATGATGAATCAGTGTTCTAGAGATCATGCATCCGGATAAGAAACTGAAAGTACAGAGGTGAAAACCTCTGTGTGGGGTCATGAATGTCCACACGTGAAGTGTCTTGTGGTAGGATGAAACGACCATGCAGTGCTTTCAAGGCTTTGTTGATGCTCGAACCTAGATCACTTCATGATTTCCATTAAATCCGACTATCTACACAATCAATTAATGATATATATTATTATTGTTGGTTGAACATTTTATTAATTTACTTGATGCTCATCCTACCCCATTCTTTCTTACTGATTCTGTACAGTTGCATACAAAATATTTTTTTCCACGAAACATTTGATTGCAATTGTAATTGAGGGCATTCAGTATGGTTATTGATTTCACAAACTTATTTAACTTATAAACATAATTATTTCAAAATCACATATTAACATCGATTATGTGATCATATTTCGAGAGGTTATCAACATGAAAAATGATACTGCAGTTGTCAGAGTCAAAACATAAACTACCTTCACAATATTCGAAAATATTTTATTTCCGCCGTTCTCCAGATTGCCTATCACTAGTCAAAAGTTCAGCTTCAAATGTTCCATTGTTAACTGTATTCCTAGTGCTACCCTTTCCTTCTTTTGTATTCATGCTAGAACCAGACTCTGTTTTAGCTCCAACATCTATATAAATATGGCTACCGTTTGCTTGATAATCACCAGCATGTCTATGTTTACGTTCTTGAATCAAACCACCTTTAATGTCAAATTGATTGTCAACTATCTTCTTAGAATATTTCTTTTCTTTTCCACGAGTTTTGAATTTAGATTTCGTAGGTCTCTTTCGACCATATCTATCAAACTTGCCTTCAATTTCAAAATTTGTAGTTTCTGATGATACTATACCATATCTACCGATTCCACGTGATCGAAATTTGCCTCTAGCTACAATATGTTTTCTATTTTTGTATTTATATCGAGATCTAGATCTGCCAAACATTGAAGATCTTTCTATACCCAATTTTCCTTTTCGATTTGTTTGTGAATCCTTACTAGTAGAATTTGTTTTGTGATGACTCTTTGATATTTCACTGTGAATTTCAAGGTCTGCGTTCCGTTGTTCTTCGTGAACAGTATCATGGCTTTGAGGAGAGATTGCGATTACGCACATCATAAATATCAAAGTCATCAATTTCATTTTGATCTTCAGTGTATATAATTCACTTTCGTATAGAAATGTTTTTATTAACAAATTGACGTTGGAGCAAAAATATTTCATCATAAAATCATGACTTATAAATAATGCTTAAAGTGCACTCTATGCACTGTTACGAAATTGAATAATTGCAAATGAATCAGCTGATTTAATTTCAACATTGTTCCATGTTCAGTATGCAAAAATGACAGTTACAACAAACTAATATTTCATCGACTTTCTAGTCAATAAGTGAACACAGTAAAGTGAATTTAGTTCATGGTGTATGCTTCTGTTATTTGCATTAACCAGTTCATGCAATATGAACAGATACGTGGTATATTATGCAAATACATAATGTGATCTGTAATTTTCCATAGATAGGTTGAACCTTATTCTGCATTACGAAAACAATATGAAAGTGTAAAGTGATGGATGACTAGACATAAAAATGTTGATATCTTGTGAATTTGCATAGAATTTAGTTAAATGAAATTCAAATTCAAAAGGTTAGATTTTCAATGTTTTAGAAGCTCAGTGTTTTTATAATATTGGGATCTTATTGTGAATAGTTTTTTTTAGGCTGATGATGATGTTGTAAATACTTGAAATACTGAACAAATTTAGAGTAGACAAAGTTTACTTTCTTGCCTATTTCAATGTGTGAATTCTTGTCTCATAGTATTCACTCGTCATGTTTATTTATTATTTTAACTGCTTGAGGTAACAAATCAATTTGAAAAATATACGAATATATACAAAAACCAGAGTTTTTTAACTAGACCAACCATTTCAATTTTGAAAAGTATCGTTTACATCACAAATACTTGGTCAGTTAGGAGTAAATGATTATTTGATCTAAGTTAGAGGACTACAACAGATTTCTTTCTCAATAATCGACCTACTTGCTCGATAATCCGAATTTCTCCTTATCATCTTTAAAGCAACTTAACCATTCACCTACATGCTCAGAAATTCAAATAACGTTAGACAAATATTTATTATGTAACTATACGATGGAAACAAATAAATACTATGGTAAATGACATGGAACTCCATAAGGTAACAATAATTAACTTTGTGCAACGTTTAGTATAAAATGAAAATATTGAAATCTATCATTATACTAGCATACTGTTTTCCATTCGAAAGTTGGTTGGTGTGTTGGTAAACAAATAATCAGATAAAAACGAAGATTCATACATGTCAGTGTGTTTCACATTTACTTAGTTGTGTAACATTGATAATTGAACTTGATCGTTTCACGTATTTCATCTGCTCAACAAACGAACACTGATTATTGATTGTTCAATGAATGTCAAAACTGACTGAGTTTTTTTATCAGAACGCTACATGAACCTGAGCAAATTCATGAATGATTAGTCAGTTTTGAAATGCATTGACTAATAAATAACTGAGTTCATAGTTTTGATAAACTTCACTGAATTCGTTTTGAAGGGTGAAGGAGTCCAACAAATTTCGACTGATAAATGAGATGGCTCTGTGTTAAGATAGATTTGGTTTGTTTGTAGAAGTTAGATTGTCGATTGGTGTATGTTGTTTTAGGAGAACTGAGGCAAGTTATTTTACTTGTTGACTGATTGATACAATGTAAATTAGCAATTTTTCTTCGCTATACTTGTATATCAAATGTAAATAGTATTTATGAATGACTGTATGATAAATGTACTTCGACTGTGGGTGTTGAAATTATTTTCTCCATGTTTTGCAAATTTTCGTTATTATTGGACAAACATAAGACTGATATGAATTTACAATATTGGTTGTTTGTTTAACGGTATTGTGTAAAGAGGTATATTCGGTATGAAGAAGCTTAATTGGTTGCACATGAACAATCTGAAATCAACCTGGAGCTCTATGAGATTGCTGTCGATCCTAAGTCCGAATAAAGGAGGATGGTTGCTTACGGAATTCGCGACCTTATCCTGTAGAATGCTAGTTAAAAATCTCTTGCCAGAAAAAAATGACTCAGTCTATTGAAGCACTGCCTGTCAGTTGTAAAGCATTCACTTAGAAGAGGTGTAACGTCCCATGATGAAAGCAAAGATTTTTTGATTGTCACGAGGCCGATGCTTCATCTGACAACTAAAGCAACCGTTATAATAGCTACGTGGAAGGTTCGTATATTGTGAGTGACCGTGACAAGTATAGAAGTTGCCGCAAAATGTAAAGATACAACCCTGAGGTGCTTGAATCAATGAAACACTGCGGACTCAGTTTCGAGAACAGAGACTGAATTCAGGGAACTTGATGTTATATCATGACCAAGTGGAAGAATTTGCTCCACATACAAATGGAATTGCACTGATACACTCCAAATAAGTTCAAAAGGCACTTATAGGATGGGCATAACATGAAGCCATAGTCATCAAAGCATCCTTCAAAACAATGAAAGAGGGCATTACAAGAAATTTCATTCAATGCTATGCATCAATCAGCCATAAAGATGAGTATGCAAGTACAGCGGTGGATTTTTTTCCACTACATACAAAGCCTAAGAATACTCATCCGCTACTGATTAACTAGTATTATTTACATTTGATATACAAGTATAGCGAAGAAAAATTGCTAATTTACATTGTATCAATCAGTCAACAAGTAAAATAACTTGCCTCAGTTCTCCTAAAACAACATACACCAATCGACAATCTAACTTCTACAAACAAACCAAATCTATCTTAACACAGAGCCATCTCATTTATCAGTCGAAATTTGTTGGACTCCTTCACCCTTCAAAACGAATTCAGTGAAGTTTATCAAAACTATGAACTCAGTTATTTATTAGTCAATGCATTTCAAAACTGACTAATCATTCATGAATTTGCTCAGGTTCATGTAGCGTTCTGATAAAAAAACTCAGTCAGTTTTGACATTCATTGAACAATCAATAATCAGTGTTCGTTTGTTGAGCAGATGAAATACGTGAAACGATCAAGTTCAATTATCAATGTTACACAACTAAGTAAATGTGAAACACACTGACATGTATGAATCTTCGTTTTTATCTGATTATTTGTTTACAATTAAACTTTTTTATATAGGGGACACAAAACAACTATGAATCAACACCAAAGTCCGAATTTTCAGCACATATGTCAAAACTATTTTACGGTACGGCGTCCATAGTAGAAGATTGATTACCAGTTCGATAGAACCGGAAAAGAAGGGTCAAGACATAGTAGGTTAGGGCGGCTTATACTCCACTGGAAGTAGCATGAGTAAGTAATATTATTAATAGAAGTAGCAGTTATAGTAAGTAAACACTCTACCAATCAGTTGTCAAATGCATAACTGAATAACTCGTTGAAAAGGCTTTTTCTTTCTGAAAATGTTAAAGATATTAGCTAAATCTCCTCAGTGAGGAAAGATAGATATTAGAGAATTAATTATCTCTGTCTGAAAATGACAAATCAGTCTATGAATGAATAAATTTGCAATAATTGAGGGAAATGGAAATTCTCGTATAAAAATAATTATCTAAAGATAATGTTAGGAAAAGAGCAAATAATGTATTCATCTGTATTTTTAAAATTTCTATCAATATTGTACAGTATAATAAAAACAGAATTTTTAAATTCACATAATAGCAATTCACTGATTATCAGAACAATCAATTAGCACGTACACTTAAAATTTGTTTCAATATCGACTGTTGTATTAGCAAAGCAAAGAAATGTTTAAACAGTATTTTCAGATCGAACGACATATATTCTTACCATCATTAATTCGACGACTGTAATTTAATTATTTATTATTTATTGAATAATTTATTTTCTAACAAAAATTCATTGTATCTATATTTATTATTAAAAACAAACAGTAACAACTGACATTTGAGAATGATTAAGAAATAACAAGAAATTAATCTGTGACATTTCTGACAAATGTATAACTGGTAGGTTTTTATGATTTGCTAATAGCATATGTGAAGATGAGATTGAGCTAGACAGAATTATTTCAAATGGTAAGCAACATGGAATATGATAGTACAGTCGTCGAAATCAGAAAGTAAACTATGTTTTCACTATTTTGGAAAACTAAGTGGTCGTGGACCCAAGTCATGCTTTTCTTGAGTGGTGAGACTAGTGTCAAATGATGCATTTCGACTTCTATCCATACTTTTTTCCATTCCTGTTTTCATAATACTGCCAGTACCAGACTCTGATTTAGTTCCAACATCTATTAAGAGATGGCTACCATTCGCTTGATAATCACCAGAATGTCTGTATTTACGTTCTTGAATCAAACCACCTTTAATATCAAATCGATTATCAACTATCTTCTTAGAATATTTCTTTTCTTTTCCATGAGTTCTGAATTTTGATTTTGTAGGTCTCTTTCGACCATATCTATCGAACTTGCCTTCAATTCGATAATGTGTATATTCCGAAGACGCTATACCGTATCTACCGATTCCACGTGAATGAAATCTGCCTTTAGCTATAATATGTTTTCTATTTTTGTGTTTGTATCGAGATCTAGATCTGCCAAACATTGAAGATGTTTCTACACCTACATCTTCTTTTCGCCTTTCATCTGCTTCATTACTAAAAGTTATTCCATTCCTATTTTTGCTTGAACTCATAGAGCTAACTTGTAATGACGCATTGTTTTGGTTTTCTCGAAGAAGCGATTGAGTATGGAAATTTTGAATTGAGATTAGTATTATGTATATTAGAAATATCAGATTTATCAATTTCATTTTTATTTTCACTGTGTATAATTCAATTTCAGAAAGAAATTCACGTCGATATAAGAATAATTTAGCCTATAATCATGATTTATAAATAATACTAATCTAAGTGCACTCAGTGCACTGTTACGAAATTTAATTATTACAAAGAAAGCAGCTGATCGGTTTTTTTTTTAACATTGTACCATATTCAATATGCGAAAGTGATAATTGCAACTAACCAATATTTGATCGATTTTCCGATTGAATGAATTCAAATAAATGAATAAAGTTCATATTGTATACGCTTCTGGCTGCATCATCCATCATATGAGTTTCGTATGATGATGATGAGTATCGTCCATGTTTTGGTACGTGTGGAAAAGAACAGCCAGATCAATGAACTCAAGTTCGTCTAGCTACATCTGAGCTGTTCATTGATTTCCGTGCTTCACTCTACATATTGACCTCTTCATCGTCCAGTAACCACTGGGAAAAAGAGAAAATGTGAAAGCGAGTAACCTATTCTGACACCGGCCTTCACATGTGACGAGTCTGTTATCTATCCTCCATTCACAATCTTCTGGCGTCATTCATCATATGAGTTTCGTATGATGATGAGTATCGTCTCAGACACACCGTATGTCCACGAAGCCTCTATAATGTGATCATGTTCTTCACTGATTCAACCTACCTCCAAATTGTTTATTTCCAAAAGGATAGGAAATGGAATTCGATAAAGTAACAACAATGGAATTTGTGCAATGATTTTAATCGAATGAACACATTTAACTTTACCATTAAGCTAGATATTTATTTTACATTCGTTATGAGTTTGTGATGTTAAATGAATAGGTAAACAAATGATTGATTCGATGCTTTGATAAAGTTGGATATTATAGTGAGTTATTTTTTGAAGTGGAAGATGGTTTTTGCGTATATTTGGCATGTCGAACGAGTTTAGTGTACATAAAATATTTTGTTTAATCTATTTTGATGTGGTTAAACATATATCTGCTTAACGATAAAATTACGGAATGAACATGTTAAATAGTCAGACAACATTCATCTGATGATTGACATTGTTGACTTCTTTCTTTAATCTATAAACATGTTTCATGCGTTTATTGTAATTCTCAGTATTAAAGATGTGTATTAACGCTCAACCACAACGGAACATTTGTCCGTTCATATAGATATATGAATGTTTTCCAAATAGACCACTGATTTCAACTTTGAACAGCATTGTTTTCTTCAATAGATGGTCTGAAGTTTATTCGGTATTCAGAAAACAAAATGAATGTGTGAAGTGAAAAGACTAGATGAAATTGTAGATAAATTGTGAAAGTTAATTTTGCTTTAATTATGTTGCATGAAGTTATACTTCACAAGAAACGATTACGAACGTTTTAGAAGTTCAGTGATTGCATAATATTGGACATGATTGTGAGTTGTTTTTTGAAGCTGATAATGTTGTTTGTACGTATTTGGTATATCGAATGAATTCAGTGTACACAAAAATTTCTGTTGAATCTATTTCTATATGTTAAAACATACAACTGCTTAAAGATAGAATTCTGAAATTAATGTGTCATATCATCCGACAAAATTCTTCTTATGATTGACATTGATGACTTCTTTTTTCAATCTATGAACATGTTGCATGCTTATCTTGTAATTGTCAGAATTTAAAAAGTGTGACATATATATGTTTTCTGAATAGATCACTGATTTCTACTTTGAAAAGCATTGTTTTCTTGACAATCGCATGATTATTTAAGAGTTTTATATCAAATTAAAGCAATATTTGTCATTCGCAATAGGATGAGTATTCTTAAGCTATGGTAGTATTGAAAGAATATTTTTCCTGTTGAATGTCCAGGCAGATTTAAGTTTTTTTTGTAACTTTGCTTTGTGGTGCACATGACAGAAAAATTTTCCCGTTTTAATTTTATTTGTTTTAATTAAGAATTTCGTATAAATGTGGTTTGTTGTTGTGATCGTTCAAATAACTTTCACCGTAATTATTAATCTGATTGAACAAACATATAAGATTGAGATGCTTTTAAATGCACTAAGATTTCTGACTCATTGTTCGTCTCAAGGTCTTAAATAAATAGAAGTGGTTGGTATGAATAAACTGTATTTATTGGCAAGTAAACAGTACCAAATTTTAATGGAGCCCCTCTTGTATGACTGCCGATTCCATTTTCGGATAAAAGAGGATGACTGAAAAAGATGTTAGCTACCCCATCCTGTTGAAAAACAACTGGATAAAAAGTGCAAACCATTGTACTTAATTCAGATAATTGGACTCTGCCTTGGCATTTGCAAGGTCTTCATTTAGATGAGTTGTGACTTCAAGATGAAAGCCGATATACCTCGTAAGTCTTGATGACATTGCCCCTTCTAAGAACGAGAGCATATTGTGAGTTGCCGCAAAATGTAAAGAGGTGCTTGAATCAATGAAACACTGCGGAAGCAGTTTCGAGAACAGAGACTAGATTCAGGAAACTTGATGTTATATCATGACCAAGTGGAAGAATTTGCTCCACATACACATACACATTGCACTGATACTGTCCAAATAACTACAAAAAGCACTTATGGGATGGGCATCATATGAAGTCATAGTTATCAACGCATCAATCAAAACAAAGAAAGAGGGAATTGCCTTGGACTTCATCTAGTGCTTTGCACCTAACGACGATAACTATGAAGACTTCAGTTGTCACGAAGTGCCCAACCAAAACATGACCATTGAGATAGGAGACCTAAACGTCATGGTTAAAATGGACAACACCGGATATAAGGACAGCATATGACAACTTAAACTGGGAGAAGGGATGAAAATAGTGATATGTCTTCAACGAAATGGTGTAACGTGGAACTATATATCTACACAAATGCATGCAAAAACTTACATAGGTTTCATCGTTTCACACTACGCAGAACCGAATCGATCATATTTGAATCAATCAACCGTTCATTAGGACAATCAAAGACTTGAAAACAACGACAGGAGCTGATATAGCTTCAGATCATACTTGCTGGTCCAAAACATGTAATTGAAACTAAAGTAGATCTGCACAACATAATGAGCAGCATCACAAATGTTTGATATACTCTTTTTTCGGCGTATTGGCAAACCCATAGTATTTAAGAGAGCTCTCAGCAAATGGGTACAGGAGTTTCACGACCAACTCAACGGAGAGGGATCTACCATGCTGAACAAATGTGAAAGGATCAAGGGAGCGATCACTTCAGGTTCTGGGATACAACAAACATCATAATAAGGAATGGATTATTGTTGATAAACAAGATATGATATAAGTCAAGAGGAACAAGAATTCCACAGTTAGTATCACTCGAACAAAAGCAAAAGATTCAAAAGCATAGGCTGAATACACCAAAGCAAACAAGCTATTGAAGAGGAACATCAAAGCTTACGAACGTAAATATGTGGAAGTTCTAGCTTTGACGGTGAAGGTTACAAGAAATGGGATTATGAGATAATAGTGTGATACTAAAAAGATGCTTGCTGAAAATTATAAAAAAACTATTACGGCCAGTAAAATATAGTGTAGGCAAAGTTATCATCGACACTGAAGATCAACAAAACAGTTGCGCATAGCGTTTCGAAAAACTTTTGAATCGATCTGCTCCACTGAACCCACCCTACATCGAGGCAGCACTCGTGGACCTCACAATTAATGTTAACCCTTCAAAAATTGGGGAGACCAGCGTTGCCATCTGAAAAATCAAGAGCGGCAGATAAGCAAGACCAAGCAACATTTCGGCATAGGCATTGAAAGCAGATGGGGCAAAAACTGTAATGAAAAGTCACATTCTCTTCAGCAAGATTTGGGAAGACGAATACTTACCAAAAGACTGGAAAAGACACTTGATTAGGATACCGAAGACCCGAGACGTCAGCAAGTATGATAAATTCATAGAAACCATCACATAATCACTACCAGTGAATGTTTTAAACTGGGTATTGGTGAACATAATAAAGGACCTCGTAAACGCTCGAAAATTCCGGATTAACAAGCTGGATTTCGTAAGGGTTGATCGAGTATGGAACAAGTGGCAACACCACGGATCATTGTGGGACGGGCAGATGCATCGAATTCGCCGCTCCACGTAAACTTCATTGATTACCAGGAAGCACTCTACAGAGTGGAGGAAGTGACACTACGGAGGCTTCTTCGACACTATAGCGTGCATGAAAAGGTGGTCAAAGTCATACAAAACTACGCAGCAAGATTGTGGATAGCGGACAGATATCGGATTCGTTCTCGTTGAAGGCTGGTGTAAGGCAGCGTTGCATACTCCCACCCACATGAGATAAACAAACAAAAATTGGATAGAAATGAAAAAGAAGGTTCAAGACAGGGTTCGTCGTCGTCGAATACTCCGCTGGTATTAGCAGGTGTAAGTGCTTGTTGTATTTGTAGTTGTAGTAGTAACTTAACCATGTATGAATCAGTTGTTTGTAGCGGAAAATAAGTAAACTGTTCGAAACTATATTGCTCAGAGTGCATTATACATGAGACAAGATTTATGCTAAATCTCTTCCATCAGATAAGGTAAAGGTCTCCAGGGATTTAAAATAAATTTATATCTTCGCGGGATTACTAATGTATATCCCGATAATCCAGAAGTCAAAGAAAAGACTATTCTGGATAAAGAAGCATATTTATCGCTTGCCTCGTGATATCGAGATAATAACGAGAATAGGGTACTGGAGCGGCTAACAACAAGCGAGAAGAAGAGCAGAGTGGGAAAGACTGAAATAAATTATGAAATTTTTGAAAGTATTGTATGGTAAAATACAAATAAGTTGATTGTGGCCTAGAGAACTTGATGTTTCAGTTAAACAACAAATTGGACATTTGGTTTCAGACCAAACACAATGTACGTACATATAAGCTAATGATTAGCAAAGGAAATACAATACGGTATTATGACGTAAATCATCAAGAGATGATATGATGAATCCCTTATACTTGTCCGATTGAGCATTTGTGTGGGGATCATTTAAATGAACATTAGGGATTTCAGATTTGTCGATACATTTAATGG